CAGGGAAATTGTGCTATTTGTTTACAAAACACAGGGAGAAAAATTTTAACATTGTCTTAAATATTACATCTAGTGAATTTACATGATTGTGAAATAGCTTCACAGTTTTTTTTAATTAATATACCTTGAGATGCGCTGATTATATTTTTATAAATACTTTAACTATTCCTCCACCGAATAACACAAAATAATTCCATAACTATTGTTGAATATTTCCCAACTAATCATTTTCTAAAAGAAAAAGTACGGTGTTACAACTGACCTCGTGTTTGAGGCTGGTAATAAGTAGTAATGCTTTTCACAAATCAGCGTAAACTACAATTATCATAATACAAATAACAGATAAGTGTCTCTTGAACAATTTACATGTACCCACATCTTACGAACTCTACATTGCACCTAATCTTCTTCACTTGAATCTATGTAGGATTCACTACATACCAGACAATACCATTCCTGCATGTTACATCTAGCCCCAAAGTTTTGTATCAACTAACCCCGGGCGTGTTTTTTACATTCATCAGTGTAACTATTGAATAATTTAGCATCACAAAAATTAGTACACATTATTAAAAATTGATAAATTTAAAACGCAACTAGCTGTAAGTGGAATTCTGTCTTCAGGCAATTAAGGCATCGTGCCTTAAGGCAAATTGCTGGAACTTCCCGTAACAAAAATTATTATTTTTTGACGATTAACATTTTTGAAAAAAATTTACTTTGAAAAAATAAGATTTTTGAGAAACTATAAATTGGACAAAAAATTACTTTTTTAAAAAAAAAAAAAATTTTAAAGAATTTTTTTTTTTTTTAATTTTTTTTTTTTGAAAAAAAAATTTTTTTTCTTTATTTTGACATATTGTGGAAGATCTGAATTTTTTTTTCAAATCAATCGTACTGCTTTAACTGCATACGGACAAAATATAAAGCGCGTAAGCGCCGCGTCGCTGTCTAACGCATAAGCATTGGTACGGAACCGATAGGAATGTTAACAATGTATACTTATTGTTAAAATCTCTATAAAATATCTGATAATTTGATGTGCATATGTCTAATGATCATTTTTGACCGCCAAATGGCTCATTTTTTTACTTTTTCCTCCATATCTCCTAAACCGCTAGACCTACCTTTATGAAAATTTTATAGATTATTCATCTTGTCATACAAGTGAAACGTTTTTTGAATTATTCAAATCGGACGCTCCGTTCTCCTAAAAACTGAGTTACCGTTTTCGGCACTTTTGCCCCGTATCTTCGGAACGGCTAGACCTGCCTTCGCCAAAAAGTAATCAGCACGTCTCCTTATCAATACGAATCGAATGCATTTTGAATTATTCAAATCGGTTGATCCGTGTTTCCCGAAATCGTCGACGAAAATTGTATCCGCACATACATACACACACATACACACACACATACACACACACAACACACACACACACACACACATACATCCATTTTTTCTAAGGTATGCCAAATGTTCAGAAACCTCTGAAACGTAAAGATATATAAAAATTTTCATTTTCGATTTTTTTGGCGATTACTATAACTTGCCCTACGGAAGTTAATAAGATATATAGAATTTCAAAATCACTGAATAATAATAACGCAAACCAAAACTTTATGATTGGTCAATTTTATATTACCTGTGAAAAATTACGCACCTGCACAATTCTGTTTACTGCATCGGCCTGTGGGACAGTAGCTATGACAATATTATGCTGGACGATTCACATCCAGACAAAAAAATATTTTAATATCGTTGAAGATGCTTTTGAAAAAGGCCTGTTACTACTTATCCTTTATACAAAAAGCTCCTACCTCTCTAGAGAAGAAACAGTATGGAAATGAAATAATATCAATAATAGAAAGTTACTTAAAATTTCATGATTGTACATGACAAAAATGAAATTTTATGATAGAACGTGATAAGAATGTTATTAGTTCAAATATCAAAAATACCTTCTCCGTTTTGGATGTGCAACTTCTTCCTCGGCCACGAAGCGTAAGGCGAAATGCGAAGGCGAACGTGCGAACCCTTCGGGGCGTCGCGTATTATCGCTACAATGTATGAGCCCCCATCAGCGTGTTTGTCAATCATATTGTGCTCGTCCAAAGAGATTTTCAAGTCTCACACTTACTATGTGTGTATATTCTGAAGCTGTAATATTACAAACACAGATTTGAATAGAATACAGGGTCGGAATTGAATCTTTTACTGAATCATTGCATTTTTGTCTTATTTTTTCTCTGATATAATAATCAGAGATATGTTTTAGTATTCTATGAGCTATTATGATGTAATTCTTTATGTTTACACTTATCCTGAAATGAACAAGTAAAACTGTACGATTACAAAAAAGGACTTTAAATATACAAAATCTTCTGGCCACAATCAGAGATAATGATAATGAAATTCTTGATGAATCAAAAATCACAAATTGGAAATATATATGTATCCAGTAGGTTTTTGAGAATTTTTATGTATTTTCAAGGGTATTTTTATATATTCCAATTCAAAAATAAAGTGCAAATCTACTAAATTATAGGGTATTTTTATATATTCTCCAGGGTATTTTTTATATTTTTTTCCAAGGAAATTTTTATATATTCCAATTCAAAAATAAAGTGTAGTTTTTAACTAAACTTTTACCAAATACATACCTTTTGTGACCTGTCAGTGTCCACGATCAGGAAATTCTTAATCTCGACCGGATTAGGTTGTTTGCAATGTTAGCGTTCAAGAGGAACATGTTATGCAGAATTACGCGTTCTCATTTAGTCAGGTTTTCCGAAGCTATTAAAATAGATTAACAGATAACTTTACTAACAATTATGAATTAACTATTAATAATGTACTATTATCTATTACATAGTAAATTTAAAAATATTTTCTAATAAGTAGTGATAATTGAATAATTAAATGTACGCAAACTGAATTTGTGAGAAGATAAATGTGATGTTCATGGTATATATATAATTCATAAGGTTTATAACCTTCATGCGAATTTAACACTTTATTTGTGACAAAAGTTAAATTCAATCATAGATTCCTCATATATTAAGCTAGCGTTATCGATGAACGTTTTGACATGAATATTTGCCTGCACCTTCTTATCAGAAATCTCGGCCTGAGTAATGCACTGACTGAAAGGCACTAATGGGAAACGGCAAGTATTTCCTTAATAAATTCTTTCCTCTAAAGAATTGAATTAATAATATTCGCAAAATAACGATGAGGTCGCTGAACGCACTGAGGCATCTCAAAGCAGTTCACATGAAAGCCATACTGGTTGTCTATTTCCAGAATTATTAGGTTTTAATTCAATAATATATAACTTTGTTTTACATATGTATATATATATATATATAATATATATATTATACTTTATGTATTTTTTTTAATTTCACTCAAAATATATTGATTTTCTTTCTTCTAATTGTCATCAGAACTGAATGCATCAAATGAGTCTGTTTCGTGTTCAGCTCACCTTAATTAAAATAGACCCTCGGCA